TGCCCTTTTTGTTCCTCAAAAGTTGGTCACGTGATGTTCTAATGACTGGTCCGTCAAAAATTCACACGGAAAAGCTAACAGGGACCAAAATTAATCATTTTTTGTTTGTAATAAACTAAAAATGCTCGTTTTCGTTCTCAGGGACTAAATTTTCACATCGCTAATATGTGAGGGACGATTTGTGCAATTTTTCCCACAAATATCATTGAATTCTGTAACTAATTCTGATTATAGTCCTAGTGACTTCGTCATGAAAGGGAAATACTAACGAACATTATTTGAAGAGAAGTAATACACCATAAAAAAGAAATATAGAAGAGTTATTTACATTCGAAAAAGCACTACTATCATGCGGTGCTAAACTCGAGTTTTTATGAATAACAATCGAGAAATTGTATTTAATCGCACTTTCACTATTTATTTTGTTATGTAGTCTGATAAATAAAAATCACATGATAAAAATGACAATGAAAGTTTTTTTTATTACTCGTTTGACCCTATGCCATTGTGCGAGCTCTGCATAAAAGGCCTTCTTAACCTTTAGTGCATCTAACAATTTAGTCCCTATACCTTTTTTCCCCCTTTTTCTTCATCTCTTCTTTTTTCTCTTACCCAAACACCGCAATCATATAGAATCAAACCATAAACAAAGAATTTTGAGAGAATCACAAATGAGGGACCAAATGGGTTTGAAGGTAAAACTCAATATTCAATGCGTAATTCTGATGATTTGAACATCAAATGAGTTCTCATGATAAAAGGTTTGCAATGGTATATTGATTTCAGTTTTAAATTCTCTAGACACAATCTTCATTTTTTCCTCATATTCTTAATTATCTTGAATTAATTGACCAGAAAAAAAATGATAGGGGCTAGAATAGTAGAGTAAGGAGTAAAGCGTGAAAAAGGCGTTTGTCAATTGATGGGTGCATCTACCTTGTATATAAAAATAAAGGGACGTTTAGTTCTTTGCCTCCCTTGTTGCCACTTGGCTTCCTAATAATTTGACAAGTTGCATAACTCTAATATTTTTCTTGCACATGAGTTTTCTTGCCTCTTGCATATCGTTTTTTTTTTTCCTGCTCTTTCTTCATGCCAAACCGAGCAAGTCTGGCTCCTTTATTCTCCTTCTGAGTCCAATAAATTTTGTTAACCTTAATCATCACCATTAGATTAGTTTTAATATACTAATACTACATTACAACCCTTGGATCAATTTTCATTATGTTCTAATTGTCTACATATTATATAAGAAGACATGGGAATTTAATGTAGCACTCCCATTTCTTGACATATGACACAACTCTCCTTCGAAAAATCTATGATTTTTTTTCTATTTTTTTTTATCTCCCTACTTCTATCTTGATGGATCAAGACAAAAGATGTACCATACAGGATAAGACAAAAGATTTCAATTGCAAGTCGTTTTGCATAACTACAAGAACTTGTATTGTTTTTATATATTGTCTAATTTATGACTATAGAATCAAGCTTTATAGTTTAATGAAAAACTTTTAATCATTGGATATTGATTAATTATGTTTGATTAGTAGCTAACCAACTATTACATTTAAATAGCTCCTTTATGCAATCAATTAAAATCTCTTTTTCTATTTCTTTATAAATTGTTTCTAAAAGTTGCACAGAAAAATCGGATTTCTTCCTTCCCAATTGTATTCAACTGTGCACCTGTGTTTATTGCTTGCCTTCATTAACTTCAAGATCAGTTATGGATTTAATAGATGCTATGTTTATTGTCTCCTTGATTTAGAAGAGCTAACTTCATAGATGGAATTTTTTCTGATGCTCGATTTTTCTCGTATTTTTGTCTATTATGTACCAAAAAAGTTTTACTGTTATATGTTCAATTAAGTTATGAAGGGGGCAAGGCACAGCCGAGATACCTCTAGCATTGCCTAGAAAAAGCGAATTTACAATCCCAAAAAGACTCGGACTCCTTGGAGCAGTTGCTCTGCTCCCTTTCGGACGCCAACGATTTATCTAACGTAAACGAATGAAAGTGACATTTTGACCAAAACAAAATTGATGTGTGTATATGGCTTTTTAATTACAAATTACTTACCTTAACGCTAACGGTTAGTCAAGAGGACAACTAGGTACAAACATTAAGGATTAAATTAATAGAGGCGCTTAAGACTAAAGAGAATAATAATAATCACAAAGCCTTCAATTATTTTGGCACACTGCTTTTTTGACAACTGTGGGATGAGGACCTTAGGGACAAAATCGAGGTAGTCGCCAGTACTATAATAATCTTTGAACCAAAGAAACGAAAAGGGCAGGCTAATACTATCTTAATCTGGTGGCGTCTGATAGCTTGTTAATTGTTTTAAGCTCCCGATATGACTATGAGGTCCACATGATTTCTTGAAATTCGTATGATCTCTCTCTCTCTCTCTCTCCCCCATTTAAAGTTGGCGCATAATTAATGAATTATAATAATAAATTCTTCATGGGCAACTAAAGTAAAGTAAAGGCCTAGCTTATAGACGACGTAAATCTCGTGGTAGTCAGTCATATAAATCATATATACACCCAGAAAAGAGAACAAAAATACACATGACCTCGCTGTAGGGGTACGTGGGTTAGGCCCGAATCATGATTTGATGTTTTTTTTGGGTAGCATGAATTATGATTAGCACAACGAAAGAAAGAAAGGAAGGAATACTTGAGGCGTGAAGCCAATGATTTGGCCTGCAGCGACGGAAAGGAAAAGAAAGAAAACAATTCGATCAATTTAATTACAGCTTAATCATGGGCAGTGGGAGTGTAGGACTTCGGGAGCGAGAGAGAGGGAGATGAGAGATACTATATCATACGGGTTCATCTTCTCATGAGCGATGAGCCCGCAGCCGGTGGTCGGTGGGTGGCACATTAAATTAGTACGGAAATTCCCCAGTTGCCACGGTTACTGCGATGTAGATGGAATAGCTACCCTCATTTAATGGCAGACCAACTTATTCCTTGTTGTGCATATCTTTCTCAGTACGTGACCAATTATTATTATTATTGTGTGTGCGCGTCTGTATATATATAGAGTATAGACGTCTTACATATGTGCCGTGTATGATGGATAGAGGGATTGGCAAGAAAAGAATTAAGGATTAAAACTCTAATAGAGTCTTATTAGATGGATCAATTCAAATGATAATAAGACCTATCTCTTGATGAAAGAATTAATTAAAATAAAAATAACGAGTCACCATTGATACCCGACATATTTGAGATCTCAAAAATTCCTCTATTCAACCCTTTTCCTTCTTCTTATTATTGCTAAGAAGATATCTCGTTCGTAGACATTAATTATTGTTGTAAATATACGTCCCTGCATGTCTTACATATGTGACGTGTAAATGGATTGGTGGATAAGTAATTAATAGCGTAAAATCCTATATATTTGTGAGAAGTGTAGTGTGAATAGTTAATTCAGAAAATTCAATAAAAATCCTTTAACTTAAAATTTTGCACACAAACTAAGTAGTGTTTAATACATCTAGCAATAAGTAATTTCTATTATCAAACCCAAAAAAAATTCTGAATGAATTAATTTTTAGCATTAAGTAAAAGTTATCAAACACGCCTTAAGCGTAACGTGGGAGGCATACATATTTTTGTGATACAAAATTGTTGGCAGTGGAAACCAAAATCTAGTAACTCTTGAATCCTTGCCCTTGAAATTTGGAAAAGGCAAACGCTTTAATTAATGTCTATGATATCACCATGCTAATACATATATCTATTATAGTAACAGGAAAAAAACTATATGGATACGTAACTCATTTAATCAAAGTTTTAAAATTTTTGGAATATTTTTTAAAAATTAACATTCCACCCACCACTATTATCCACTACCGCCACCATTCCCCCTCTCCCTCCTTCACTCCTCTCCCCGTCCCTCTTCCTCCCTTCCCTTTCTCTGCCCTTTCTCGTTACATCTCGCCCCTCCCCTTCCTTCCCCTCTCCGATCTAGTTGAGGCTAGAGGGAGGAGGTGGGGTATGGCGGGGAAGGGGAGGGAAAGGGAAAGGAAAGAGGGGAAGAGGAAAGAGGGGAAGAAGGAAGAGTAAGGGAGAGGAATGAGGAGGAAAGAGAGGGAGGAGGTAGATGGTGGGTGCGGGTGATGATAGTGGTGGTGATAGATAGAAGAAGAAAATAGTATAGATTTTATTTTTTAATTTTTTTTGTGTACTTGAAATTATTGTTGATATATTATATGGATATGTATTTTTTGAATTGTTTTTGCTTGTGCATTATTATAGTATTATATGTAAAAAACTTGTTTTTAAAAAAATGGAGAAACCAAACAGAGCCAGTAATATGTGGTATTGAGTACTTGACTATTTACCAACTCCATGTGCACGCCGGAGTCATTGAATATTGAGGCTTGGCGACGGATGACCAACTCTTGTACCGTACTAATTGCTAATATTTTTTTTAACCAACTCCCTTAGGCGAGTTGACCACCACGTAAAATATATGAGTTGCAAGTCAGAAATTCAAACAGAGAGTGCACTAATGCACCATTTGTAATCCTCTTCCACTAATTTTTTTAACTCAGTTGGATCCTTCCTTGATATAGTTAATGCACCTCCCTTAATTCTTTTGGTCCAATTTAATCGTTTCCTAACATATAGTATTAGAGTAGAAATAGAAATAAGAGTTAACAATTGATAAAAATAAAAAAAAATCCTTTGCTCCTTTGTTTTTCTTCTTCTTCTTTTTTTTTTTCGGGTTAGTACTCGTTTTTGGCGATCTAATCCTAAAAACACATAGTCCTCATGGCCTAACAATAGAAGTAAGAATAGACAATTGACAAACAAAAACGCAAACCTTTTTCTCCTTAATTTTTTCCCCTGAGTTAGCACTTGTTTTTGGCCACCTAATCCTAAACGTACTTCACAGGATTTCATAAAGATCAGACCTGAAAATTTTTTCACTTATCTGTGGAACCAATTGATTATCTTGAATCCAGAGATAATTTTTTTTTGTAATTTATAAGGTAGAAAATATCGACACAACTGCAGCAGCGTCTATGACATACCCCAAAGGGGAGTGCAAATGCGACATAAATAGTTCCAATTCCGGTGATATTGTTCCGAAAACCCTAATTGACATCCATCTTTGATGCATAATAGTGCTTCCAACACAAAACCGCCTTGTTTGGTCGCAAGACGCCAGCCAGTGCAATATGGCACTCGACAATCTAACAACTTTCTGCTCAACATTATTATTAGTTTCCTTCAAGAGTAAATATTACTCATTTCCGAAAGTTGAGTCACCAAATGAATCATGATTAGTAATCTACGTCCAAGCATGCTCATCTCTTAGGACTCAAACTTCTTCATCTGAACTAACAAAATCTAATTCGATCATTTTTTCTCCAACAAAATTCACTCTCTCTCCTTGACTCTGCGACAATTTTACCCTTTTCGTTTCTGGTTCTTCATATGATTTTTCTATCTGACGACCCTTTTTCGTTGAAGTTGATAACCTGAAAATGGTAGAAAATCTTCAGCAAAATGGTGTACCCGAAACAAAGCAAACAAAGAGATCTTGCATCCCAATTTTTCAATTTACCTTTTGTTCGAATTATTTAGCGGTTCTTTTGGACTCAATTTTCCTGTAGCTGAGAAGAGGGAAAAAGTTAAAAAGAGAAAAACCCTAAGCATCAAATTCTAGAGCACAAAATGTATGTATGCCCAACCTGTAACTTCTGCAAGGAATCGAATCCCCTGCGAACACACATTAGTTGTTAATTTGCCTGCATTACTGCATGAATACAACTTCTTTTTGTTAGCAACAACATCAGAGTAAATTCAAAATTCAGCCTGAAGTTCTAACATGCACAATCATCTCTCCAGATCAGTCATCCAAGCAGAAGTAAAAGGTATTTCCAAGTAATACTGAAATATACTGCAGGCAATGGAAAATGAAGTCAAAAGCCTATAACTTGACAAATAACACCAGAGTATGGAGATGGTTACCACAAAGTAGGAATGGGTCTCACAAAAATTATGTTGACTAATTATCAATTTCCTAAATTTCATGGTCCTATTTATATGACGTCAATAGCACAAAGAAAATAAGATTAATGAAGGCTTGTCTACAATTGAGTGAGTTGACAGTTCCAAATTATCCTACTGATGACTGAAAATCTCTGAGTAGCTCTACATGATCTACCAATTCCCAAACAAACCTTAAGGCCTTCTTCAACCCATCTACAGACAATAACTTCAATGGTGCTTGATTTTTTGAAGATTTTATTCCATTAACTGAAGGATTGACCAAGTAAATTCCTTCTGGCTTCAGAGGATCCCTGAAGGCTGTCCTCAAATTCCTGAAAAATGAAAGGCAAATAAAACTGTCATAGTTCAAGAAACTAATCTCCTCCAGTAGATTTCTAGACAACCAACAACTTTATGCATAGATAGTTGTGACTCACCCTCCTTTGAGCTCTGTCCTTTTAAGAGAGTATTTTTCTGATGTTTTCTAAAAGAAAAATCAAATGAAAAAGACAGAGAAGAAGTCAGAATATATCACCAAAAGATAAGCAAAACTGAGAGCTTAAAAATTACATATACCTGTCTATGGTAGGTGCAATATATTCCTCTACGTCTGCAGATCATAACATGTTTAATAGATGGAGTGAGTGGAGCATCAATTGTGTATCACCAAAAAAAAAAAAAAAATTATTTTAGGATCAGGAACACAGAACTAATACATTCATCATTCTGTCAAGCATAAGAAAATTCTATCCTCATAGTTGTTTTAGACAGAATAATCTCCTCTTCTTCCTTTTTCTACATCAATGCCAAGAAAAAACTGAAACATGTTCTTTGCCGTTTGACTAGACCAATCAACAAGAACATTTTAAAGGCCATTTAGCAAAAATAAACACTTCATCGACAGCCACACAGAACCTGAACAGTTTTTATTTCCCTTGTTAAGCAACTACAAATAGTAGCCGAGAATCTCAATCACTATACTTGTGATAAAATCATAGTTGTAATTTTAAAGAACTAGATTTTATATGTTTAAAAATTGAATAGACTATTTCCAATCAAATTAACGTAAACATTCTGATAACAAGATGATTACTTACTTATTAATGACTAATGTGCAGGCCATCCCATCCTTCTTCTTCCCCTTGCAGACTCCATAATCCAAAGAAGTGCCGATTTTTAAGATGTTACAAGCAGAATAAACACTCAGACAGAATCCATTTTCCTAAAAGAAATAAGGAAAGAAAAGGGTCACTATGTTCAAAGTCCTCCATGTACTAATAAGACTTAATAGTGAACAGGTAAGAAAGAGTACCGAGTTGTCCTTGCGGACGGCGCAATTAAAAAGACCAAAGACAGTTCCAGCCTTCTCATTGCAGTTTCTCTGATAGGCATCACCGAACAAGAAAAGAGAAACAGTCATTTCATCCAAACAACCAATTTTCCAGATTGCAAAAGGCTTCCCTGTAGAACTAGTTCTTTGGTTGCCTTTCTCAGTTAAAACTCCAATAGTTGCCCAGCACCCAGAGAGAGTATCCCCTTTCAACAAATTCCTGAAAGTCAACAAGGTTTCCCTTATTAACTGCATCAAAATTGCAAGGATCAGACAGTCCAAGGAAGCTATGCAAGATTTGAACATACTTTATGGCCGGTAATCGAATAAACCGGATATCTGAAATACGGTTGCTCAGCTCAACAGATGAGATAACTTGATTCCTGATCAAGAAAATTGATAAAAAAATACTTAAACACAGCAGCCCAGTTCAACGGATGAGACTGCTTAACTCTAATTATTTCATTTTGTAGTTCCAAATTCATCGAGAGATGTTAGCTCAATGCGGTTGTTTTTTTGACAGTCTAGGGCTCATCTGATTAACCTGATCAACAAACACCAACAGAAATGTACGGTAGCTACAGAAGCTTTTCGAAGGAAAAGAGTGACAAAAAAAAAAGGCCATTTCAAGGATTATGGCGAATGTCATTTTATCAAATGCTAGATAGACATACCGAATTCTCAAACCTGAGAACTTCTCAATATAAATATATATGTGCATAATAAGATATTCAATGGACTAATTTAAGATTTTATCTGATAAAAAGTTTAATATTTTTAAAGAACTTGGACTTTCATGAATAAATATTTTAAATTATAAGTTCAAACAAATAAATTTCATCTCAATCGTGTCTACCAAGATATAATCTTAAACCCTACCAAAGAATACTACAGTATTTTCAAATTAAACAAAATTCATGTCTTTAGGAATTAGAAATTGTGAATTGAAACTTTAAACCATGTTAAAAAAAATTTTTGGAGCCTAGATGAAGTCAAAAAAATTAGAAAGCAAAGATGAAAACTTGATAAAAGGCAAAAGACGAGAATAAAGTGAGTGAATGTGGCACTTGATGACTAGTTTTTGGAGTTACGAAGAACATATTCTTTTTTTTTTTAGTTTAATATGCCAAAACAAAAAATTGCCGGTTCAAGAGTTCATTTCGATTCAAACAGTTTGCATGATTCATATGATTCTCACTGGTTCTTAAGTCCAATCGACCCAAAACATAAATTAGATCGGAACCACGACCAGTTTGTGGTCTAACCAGTCAAACCGGTAAGTTTAACCCGGGTTTCAAAACACTTGGGTGCCATGGATGGAATATAAACTTCAATATTTGGTTCTTAAATGGCGGACGCTATCGCGAGAAACATACACATTTGTATTGCAGCTCCCATTCGGACAGATTCCCCTCGAGATCCTTTTTACCGCAACATGGAATTTGATAGGTAGATTTGTGTTCTACAAGCGATCATAGTCACTTTCAGATTTACAAATATTTCCGTAAACTTTGGCATAGACATAGGCGTAGTAAAATATGCTACTACTATGTATTTATATCACAATAATACGAAATAATAATTTAGCATGAGCATAATATTACACTATGAAAATAATTCCGCAGTCTATTGGTTAACACTTTTTCTTTTTTTTTTTTGGCAACAAGAAGTCCGTTAGTATGACTGGTATCACTCCAACATTTCCCGCCATTTAGGAAAAACGGTTAAAGACCGGACCAAGTTGTGAGATCGATGGACAAAACTCGTCCATCCATACATGCTTCTAACTAATCACCTCAGACATAACATAATCAGGCAAACGGTCGGAGATCAGTGCTTTGTTTTAACTTTTTTTTTTTTTTTTTTTTTAAACTAACATGTTTTTTTGTTAAACTAACATGTAAAAAATGCAAGCCCTTTTTTTTTCTCTCCATATTTTGGAAGAAGAAGAAAGAGAAAAAAAAAAAAGAAGAAAAAAAAGCGCAAGCAACGGATGGGAAGTCAAAGAAATGAGAGTGAGAATCCGAAAGATCCTCCAAGGCCTTACATTTACCGGACGGTTCTCTATAACATTGGTGGTTTCAGGCAAAATCTACAAGACAGCTGCTGGGCACTTCCTCTCAGATTAGGGGGAAGAGGTCCCGTTATAGCTCTCTTCCTGCTTTTGGCTTGGCCCACTTTAACGTTCTCAAAAAAAGAAAAAAAAAATCTCAAACGAGAACCAAGAAAACAAAACAAAAGATCATTTCATCTGTTAGAAGGTGAATGCGTCCAATCTGATCAGCCATTTATTTTTTCCTGTTAATTTCTTTGTGCAAAAGGAAAAAATAAGGACTCAATTATGGCTCATCAGCACTATCGAATCCTTGTGTTGTCACTCCTTTTGCTGTTAGCATCTTCTGCTGCTGGGGTTGGCAGAAAGAAAAAGACAGTCACCTATGACAGCCGCTCAATCATCATCGACGGTAGCAGAGAACTGCTCTTCTCCGGTTCAATTCATTATCCCCGTAGCCCTCCTGAGGTAACAATAACCTTCTCTAACATACGTTACTCTTGCGCTGTACGTATTGGATATTTTAAATGTAACTACACATTTAAATACCACTACTAAACTTTGCTTGGATTTTCAGATGTGGCCGGAGCTCATACAAAGGGCTAAAGAAGGAGGTTTAAACGTAATCCAGACCTATGTATTCTGGAATCTCCACGAGCCTGTTCAGGGCCAGGTAAACCAGTTCAAAAAAAAAATTATTTTTTTGGGCTGAAGATGCCTCATTAGCATTTCCCTCATGAATAAGCGACTAATCATAAAATATTGCATGATTCTCTGGAACGCACGCACGCAGTTCATTTTTGATGGCAACAATGATATTGTCAAATTCATTAAAATGATCGGGGAGCAAGGCCTGTACGTGACTCTCAGAGTTGGACCTTATATTGAGGCCGAATGGAATGCAGGGTACGTATACACCGCCAGTTTTCTTCAATTATTTGTGTGTTTTTCCTAGATGATGTACATTCCTTTTTGAAACTGCTGTTCTTGCTCAGAGGATTTCCGTATTGGTTGAGAGAGGTCCCAAACATCACATTCCGCTCTTACAATGAACCATTCATGGTAACCTTCATCCACAAACTTATCTGTCATATCTCACTGTTTGTTATTTAACACATTTCAATTTCATGGAATTTGCTTCACCTACTACTCTTTGGCCTCCAGCACCACATGCAAAGATATACTGATACCATCATCGATTTGATGAAAAAGAATAAGTTATTTGCACCTCAGGGTGGTCCTATCATTATGGCTCAGGTTTGTTTCGTATCCTGCAATTCTTTTATCAATAGTTACCTACAATATCTTTTAAAACGTCACACCTGAACGAGCGTGGTTATCGTCCTTCCTCAGTTCATTCCATATGTTTTCCATTTTTTGCCCCTACAGATTGAGAACGAATACAACAACGTCCAACTTGCATATAGGGATCTGGGCAAGAAATATGTCGACTGGGCAGCAAATATGGCTGTGAGTCTGTATGATCAAGTCCCATGGGTCATGTGCAAACAGAAGGATGCCCCTCCGACAGTGGTATGTTCTTGTCGGCCCTATATCCAAAAAAGCTTCTTTCAGGGAAAAACCCCTTGCATTTTCCTCCGTTTCGTCCGACTAATAGGGTTTGGCCGTCTTTATAGATTAGTACCTGCAACGGAAGGCATTGCGGAGAGACATTCCGTGGTTCAAATGGTCCAAATAAGCCTACCCTCTGGACCGAGAACTGGACCGCTCAGTAAGTATTAACCTGTAATTGAGCCGTTAACAAGCTTTCTATCAGTGTCATGATCAGTGTACTGTAAATGGTGTTGAAAGCAAGCATTGGCGTATACTTAAAACTACTGAATCATTCAAAAATTATGAGAATTCAAGTTAAAAACTACTGAATCATTTAGAGAATTATTTTTGGAGCCTTCATTTTAATTTCGAGAATCATCCCTAAATATGTCTGACTTACAAAGTATGAATGCTGATGTGATTACAGGTACAGGACATTTGGTGATCCTCCAGCACAAAGAGCAGCAGAAGATATTGCCTTTGCTGTAGCTCTCTTCTTTGCCAGGAATGGAACCCTTAACAATTACTACATGGTTAGTAGCACCTCCTAAGAATCATGATCCCCAAATAAGAGATTATGTTGTTCAACAACCTTGCGCTTGCATGCAGTACCACGGCGGAACAAATTTTGGTCGAACAAGCTCTTCCTTTGTGACAACTCGCTACTATGATGAGGCTCCTTTGGATGAATTCGGTTAGCGTCCATAAGCGTAAATTCAATAGTTTCAAGGAACCAAGTGATCAAATACACAATGACATTCATTTCGCTTTCCATTCAGGCTTGCCGAGGGAACCCAAATTCGGTCACCTCAGAGACTTGCACAGGGCCTTAAGATTGTCCAAAAAGGCTTTGCTTTGGGGCACTCCAAGCGTACAGCAGATTGATCAGGACTTACAGGTAATTGAGAATTTAAGTTGATCGAGAGAGGTAGAAAAACACCATGGTAAGTAAGAGTCTCTTGTTAAACTTTCTAGTCCAGAAGAAACAATAAAAAAATATATGTACGTTCTTCTCTGCAGGTCATAACATACGAGAATCCCAATGTTCAGAATGTTTGTGCTGCTTTCTTGATTAACAATCGTACAACAACTCCAGCCACGATAAGTTTTAGGGGTGTGGATTACTATTTGCCTGCAAAATCCATTAGCATCCTGCCAGACTGCAAGACTGTAGTTTACAACACTGTAACGGTAATTTTATGTTCCCTTGTCTCGCCCCCTAAAGTCCCCCAGTTAAAGGAACAGTGACTTTTACTAAAAATCTTTCCATTTCTTTTTGGGGTTTTAACAAAAAAAAAAAAAAAACGAACAGATTGCGTCACAACACAACTCAAGAAACTTCGAAGAATCAAGCAAGGTGGGAGTTCTTGACTGGGAATTTTTTTCAGAAAGCATCCCAAGCATGGACCAGTTGTCACAGGAGAGCAAGGCACCATTGGAGCTGTACAGTCTGACAAAGGATACTTCAGATTATGCCTGGTACCGCACCAGGTAATTGTGACATCTTAAACAAGCCTATAGAAGATAAAACAATATATACACACACGCACACCACAAGAGACTCAAATATAACTCAAAATGCAAAAAGGCCTTGGTAGAACCACATATACTGAGGTGTATATACTACAAAAATATTTCTGTGAACGTCATGATTTATAACGTTTCATAACAATTATTGCAGCATCCATTTTGACAAACGCGACTTACCAATGAAGGCTGGAGTTCTCCCAGTCCTCCAGGCTTTGAGTCTTGGTCACGCATTGCTTGCTTTTGTGAATGGAGAGTACATAGGTAAACGAAAATTCAGAACACCAAAAGAAAGAAGCTTGACTTGTAGTAATACAAGAATTGAATCTACCATTAGCTAAGTTCATGCTCAATTTCAGGATTCCAACATGGAAACAACATCGAGAAGAGCTTTGTATTCCAGAAACCTATTAGCTTGAAACCTGGTGTTAACGAGATTTCATTGTTGGGAATGACTGTTGGATTTCCGGTATATCTGTTACTCTTGCAACTTTAAAATCAATTTGTTCCCCGCAGAAATTTTCCCTGACAGAGAACGTTCTTTCATTGATACAGAATAGCGGAGCCTACATGGAGAAGAGGTTTGC